AGAACTCCATTTGGGATAACTTAAAAACAAAGGAAAAAAATTGGTATAGAATATTGCCATGGCAGAGCCTGGCAAGCTACCTGTGGAGTATTCGATATGCCAAAAACAGTAACAATAATAAGTCTCATTCCCCTGACCCTGAAAGATCCTCCAATACTGTTGGGGAAGATGAGTAAGGAGAGGCTGCTAAAATATCAGGGCTGGGATGAATGGAGATGTTACTGGCGCCCGTTTGAGTAACTTGATGAACAATGGGATGACAGTGATATAGTGATAGAATATTGTAAATTGTATTAAGTAAACAGTGTTAATTTTAAAGAGCCAGAAAGTCACCTACAAAAAATCAGGATTTCCTTAAATATATCAGAATAAGTTTCAATTTGTTATATAGTAATTGAGAGTCACTGATTACCTTATATAAATATCACAATAATCAGGGTGAAATAGCACACATAAATTCCAAGCGGAAATTATCTTACTGTATCACAAAGATTTACTATAATTGCTTTGAGGAGGCAGGGATTGATTCAGGGAATGCAAGAAACAAAATAATCAGAAGGTTACTTTGGGGATAAAAAGACAGAAAAATCTTTTTAAGCCAGTCATTTGTGTGTTGTGTGTGTGTGTGTGTGTGTGTGTGTGTGTGTGTTTTATTGAGTGCAGGAAGCAAGAACTTTACTACAGTTAAGGAATGTGGAGAAATGAATACAGAAAAAGTATAATAAATAATGGTGAGATACTTTGAATACAAATGACTAAAGCAAACAACTGAGAAGAAATATCAAAACTAACACCTAGATTTAGTGAAAACTATGAAAGTTACAGAGGGATAGACCAAAGGGTGAGGTGAATAAGGAAAGTGGTCTTTTTGGTGGTAGGATGTCACTGGAACTCTGGTGGTTGGGAATGGTGAAACTTACACAGGCATAAAAGTGCAAAGCCAACTTCTAAAATTACATTTAAAATAAGTAAGCAATAGGTCAATAAATCAATAAGCAAAAAAAATAATATTCAAACAAAGATGATGAGAAAGAAATTAGGACTTTATGAGTAAAGTTTGCATAGTTTAAAACAAAGTAAATTTATGAGAAACATAGGACAGTAATTACAGAAGGAAAACTAAGAGAGAAGAGAAATACATTACAAAATAAAGAAGACTATAAAAGAGTTTCCCTTAGAGTTACGGAAAGTTCTTCTGTAACTTATTATTGGGTTTGCTCAAGATTAAATTTAAAAAGATGCTTAGGGGAAAACAACGCCTAATAATAAGTGTTCTCTATTAGCTGTTGCCAATATTGTTTGAACAATAGATTGCTGTGACTTTCAATGCAGGTTCTGTTTCAGTTACATACTAATTAATGAATGCAGGTTGTGAGTGACCTTTGATCTGTGGCAACCATTGAAATAAATAAATCAACTCTAAGTCATATACAGTATCCAGTTAAAGGCAGATGATAGTTACATCAATGATATTACCTAAAGAGGTATTCTATATTGTTTTTTTTCTGAGATTGTAGTGACTGTAATTTTTATAATTTGACAAATGAGTAAAAGTAAAATCTTGCATATCACAATACAAAATTTTATTTAAATCTTAGAAACAACTTTAACAGTATAAATGTTAAATATTTCCCCCGATTTTAATACATTCAATACCAATAAACCCCTTATATATAACAATTAAAATGTTATATTTAGTACAAAATAAGCTAATTATTTAATAAAGATAGGTATTGCCTTGTGATCTAATAAATAAATCAATTATCAGGTCATAAATGCCAAACACTCAATTGTAGTCTTTTGGTAGGTGATTATTTAATCAGATTAATGTGAAACAGGCAATTCAGTTCATGTTGCTGAAAGGACATTGCTCAAATTACTATATTATTTTCGGAGGTTCTTAAATAACCTGCTTTAGGCATAGTAACTATTCAGTGCAGATAACAATTGTGTCCCAGGTATATATTTAAGCTAACAGAAATAGAGATGTATGAACACTACCTTAAGACTGTTGTTTACATCACTTGTAGCTTGATCTGCTCAAATCCAGTTGAAAATAATTTTCTTGAAATTTTTCTTGAAATCATTTCCTAACATACTAACATGCTAATTGAAAATCTTAGATCCTCTCTATGAGAAGAATTTATTTTAATTAACAAAAATAATTGTAAACGACCTTGTTTTACACATCAGCAAATTATTCTGATTACTTCACCAGACTCTTCAGCTGGCATCGTTTTTTATGTTTAATGCAGTCATAAAACAGAAACTGACTTATAATTGGGTCATGCTGTCCAACTGATAAATTTATAAAGAATATGTGAAAAAATTTAATATCATTATAATTCTGTTTCTAGAAAAAGATGCACATTTTTCTCTTAGTCATGCAATTGCTAATTTTAAACAGTAACATCTACCAGTAAGCTTGAACTTATAATTTAAAAAACAATTTTAGCCACTGTGTTTTACAAAGCTATCAATAATGCAGTTTCAGGTATACAGGTTTCCAACACTGGCCTCACCACCAGTTCCAGCATTTCTCCACCAATGTCCCCAAGTTACTTTAACAGGCACATTTTCTTTTTTATTAAAAGGATAAACACAGTTATTTTAAACAAATTTTTTAATCTGAAACACAGTGGTTAAAATTTGGCAATAATAAGTTTATCTGCTCATAACATTCCAACACTACACCTGAAACAGTGTCTGCTCCCCTCCAACACAGGCAAATTTTTAAGCTAATTATTATAGTTTGGGGTTCCATCTTTAGAATAGTGCTGCTCTCATACTTTTCAAAAAATAAAGACAAAGAAAACAAAAAGGCAGGTTATCTTTGAGTAAAGATAACTTACAATTTTAATATAATAGCTAGAAATACCCTGGCTTCCAATTATAGGTCACTTCTGTAAATAGTATCTTTTCTTCTGAGGGTAGTTATGTGCCCTCATGAACACCTAGTTAAGAACATTCTCACTTTTATGTACACTCTGATATGCTTCTCCTCCACATAAAAATATAATTTAGTTGCAGCACCACATGAGGGGTCCAATGTATTATACTGGCCTATCATTGGTTTCCTTTGATATCTTATCTATTCTATTAACTCAATAAAATAGAAGGCAAAGCTCGAGACAAACTGCAGGAGAGCTCTTCTGAGAAAACACATGCAAGACCTTTAAGCTGAGGCATTAATTTATCTAATAAAGCCAGTTAAATGGAAGCAAGTGTTTAATTTTTTACTCCCTTTATTAAAGAACATAAGTACTGCCACTTGGGAATAGAGAAAACAAAATAAATACATGGAAGAACACAGTTGAAAATAGCAAACAGTATGGTTTGCCTATTTACTCAAAATTTAAGATGCACGTAAAGGCCAATGTCACAGGCAAGCAGTGTGAGAAGTAAGAAACCACAACAAAGCCTTCTGTTCCCGAACAAGTATAGTGTATTCTGAATGCAGTGACTCTGATTGATGCTTGAGAACAGAAACATCAACCTAGGCATAAATAGGCAGGATACCATATTCACCCCTTTGTATTATACTTTTATATCGATTTATTAATTCAGAGGAAAAATAATGATTAATACACTCTTTTGCTTTTCCATGACCCAACGAAAAATATTCAAACTTGATAGAACCAAACTAAGGAAAGTGTTCCACCTAGAGACCATTTTCAAGAGGTAAAGTAAATAATAACTTATCTAGGAAATGAATATCATTGTAACCTGAACTTGCTAGTTACTAGGGAAAAAATGAAGCAAAAGGTATTGTCCCTGGTATAATTAACAATGTTAATCTTCTTTTCCCTCTCTCTGGTTATAAAGGAATCATTTTTATATTTAATTAATGCAGAGGGTCATTTTGGAAACTGGCTAATGAGCCTCTGACCACATTACCATGAAAATGTGCTTTAACATTGCAACTGAGGCTGTTTCATGTGTAGCAAATCTACTTTGTAATTAGCCCACTGTGAAATGAATCACGTCAGGGATGGAAATCTGAGGGAACCAGTGGACTGTGGGCACTTGGGTAGTGCTGTGCACAGACAACCAACATCCCAAACATTGTGTTTAACCAAAAATACTGTCTAAAGAAGAAAAAAAATAATAATGTGTGATATAGGGGACAAACCAGAAAGAGGGAAGAAATAAACTTTATTTTACAAAGCAAGAAATCTGAATTTCAGTATATGACTCCAAGAAAAATTGCCTAAATAAAATGGTGTAATAATAGAATTGATTTCATCAGGATAGGAAGCCTGGGATGCAGTTTTGTTTTTTATTCTAATTGCTAGGATACACAACAAGAAGACATATGAATTTAGACAATTTTCCCTAGGTTGTACACGGCACTGTAATGAAAGCTTCAATTTTTAGTGTAAAACAGACAGAAACTATAATAAAGATCAAAAAACAAGTGATAAGAAATTTTTTCATCTCCCTTTAAGAACAGATGCAGAGCAGAGCGTCAATTTTTTCTTATGATACAAATGTACCAGTTCTTAAACCACATACACACTCATAATTAATGAAATAATACATCTGGCTAAACAGGTTTGTCAAAAAAAAAAACCCAAAAACTTTTACTGTCTATTCAAAATAACTGAGATGGTAGTCTCCATTAAACCTTAATATTTATGCACACAATGATAAATTTGATTTTGAGGTGTCAATATCATTCCAAAAGAGAAGCAGTGTCACAAATATCAAAATATTACAGACATGGATTTCAGTGTAATTCCCTTTCCTTGACTGGCATGTTGGCAGAAGATTAAAATAAAAAATTAAAAGAAAGAATGTCACAGGAAGTCATCCGAAGGGGGAGTGGCAAGGAAACTGGAGCTGCCACCCAAAACCAAAATAAAAAGGCTCCAGCTATCAAGTCTGACCTCAATTCTGACATATCTGAAAGGAAAACTAAAACCACAGTTCATTTACCTCCATTCAGGCAAACACAAAGCCTGGCTGCTTTAGCTGCTGATAACAGATCCTGCACTCACCTGGGAAACTTCGTACAGCAGTTTGTAGCGTTCCTCTCTTTTCTGAAAAGTGCACAAATTGCAGCCCATTCTAAGAAGAGGAAAGAGAGAGCAAATCTTCCAATTTCCACAGAACTGAAAGGCAAGTTGAACTGCCAGAGAATCACCCTCCAGACTTGTCTACTGCATTTCATCAGTCACTTCAGTCCAGAAACACAGACAAACCGCTGTTTGGCACAAGCCAGGAGGGTGCGTAGCAGCATGCGCTAAGTGTCTTGCACTCACTGCACTCACGCTACACACGCAGAGTTTCCAGTCAGTTCATGGCAACACTCCGCGTCTCTGCATCAGTGCACATGACTACACAGATTCCAGCTCATGAATATTAATCGTGTCTCATTGATTATTTATGACAGAACATGTTAGCAGGGAGGGGTGTTATAGCTGCTGCTGATGACAGATGAATATTCACTAATTAAGAAGCAAATGTAGTGTGGTTAAACAAAATTCATTTGTGTCGATACCATCTCCTTTTATTAAGAGTAGAAGGATTTTACAGAGAGCATTTCAAAAAAGAATATATACTTAATTTCTCCATTGATGTAAGCTTTTAATAAAGGAAAGAGCAATTTAGAAATGGAAACTTGCTAATGTCGTTCACATGCCAATAATTAGAAGAAATATGTTTAGTATTATTAAGTGTGGGAGAAAATGAATAGACGCAATTATTTAAATATATAAAACAAACAGAGGCAAAGGAAAATTTGGGTGTTCTGGGGAAGAAACAGACCTGGAGGTATTGCTAAATTTAATTTAAAACCTATGAAATTTAAAACCTACGAAAGTAATTGAACAGTTTGTGTGTAAAACCATTACTTACTAGAAACGTTCTTATTTTAAATAGAGAATACTTATTCAAGTATGAGTAGATGATATTGACATAGATACTAAATATTTTAATTAGATAATAAAGGCAAATCTATCAAATATTATTTTAACATAAATGTACATAGGTCTTTATCTTAAAATTTAAAAAAATAATGTTTATGAGAAAAATTTCGAATTCATATGGTAATTATGCTAATTTTATTAGACCCATATATAATATTTCAGGGAGTTGACATTGGCAATATTTAAATACTAATTCACTGCACAGAATATATAGTTTTATATTTAGAATTCACAGTACGCAAACTGTAAAAATCTAAGCTAATATTTTTAGATAATATAAGTGACATTATTTAATTCCACACTCACAAATATATTATTGCAAGCTGGTAATTTTGTTCCTTACAGATATTTTACAAATAGCTAGAACACATAATAATAAAATTTCCATTTGTCCCTATGCTGACTTATCCACAACCTCTGCTAATTAAGAAGTATGTCCTTACTCTAGCTCATCTTTAAACTGGACATGTTCCAAAGCAAAAATAATTACTTGACTCCTGAATTAAGAATTACATTGGATCTTGTGGATATTTAATTGCTTAACATTAATGTATAGTTACTTTCTGGTGCCCAGTTTGCTAAATGTGCCTTGCCAAACATTTAAAATCGATAATAGGAAATGATTCTAATGAGTACTAATTGTTAACAAATTGGCTTTGCAACTAACAACACCTCAACACCAGCAAGTAGCAAAGAGGTGAAAAATCATTTGCTGCTTATCAGTCATTTCCCTTAGGATGTATTAATCCGTATTTTTAGGGCTAATTTCACCTAACAGCCTGGATGAAAGCCAAGCTGAGAAATATATATATGAAAGTAGCATCATAATTGGGAAAACTGAATGTGGCCACAGTTTCTCAGTACTTATTATAAATTGAAACCACTTGCAATAGATATCAACGATTTTGGTTCACTGTAGAAATAATATATTCCAGGGAGCATTTGAAGAGACCTTTATGAAAATAAGAGGCGGTCACAAACAGAAGCAACCCTTTTGGTGCAATTGTAAATACATTTATATGCAATATATAAATATGTATATATGTAAATATATATGTTCATGAGCATTTAAAATTTTTGCTTTATGACTCTGCAATATTATCCATAAAGCATTTTTGTTATATTTTTTAATTCTCAAATCAAATATATGCTATATTTTAAGTATTCAATATACTAAGCTGTGAAAGAACGAGACTTGGGAGTCTATATTCTATACTTTAAAAAGTCATATGAAAGATATTAGCTCTATCTGAATGAGACCCAAACTCTAACAACCAAACTTAGAAAACTGCTTTGTCAGGATGGTAAGCTGGGTGGGTATTGGGTATGGAGGGGACCAGAGGATGTTGGTAGAGGGAAGTTGACATTATTGGTGGGATCAGTGCTAGATATTGCAAGCCTAAAACTCAACTATGAATAATTTTGTAAATCATGCTTCTTTAAATATGTATATATTATATATTTATACAGATATTTAAGTAAATGCATACATACAGTTATCGGACTATGAACAGCTTTGTAACTGTATTTCACTGATTCAATAAAAGAAGAAAGAAAGGAAGGAAGAAAGGAAGGAGGAAGGAAGGAAGGAAGGAAGGAAGGAAGGAAGGAAGGAAGGAAGGAAGGAAGGAAGGGAGGGAGGGAGGGAGGGAGGGAGGGAATAAGGACTAGAATACTCTAAGGCAGGGCTGGCTTGCTTATCTCAATTGCTTCTTAAAGATAAACAAAAGGGACTACATTAAATTAAGAGCTTCTGCACCTCAAAAGAATAGATAACCAGGGTACAAAGACAGAATACAAAATGGGAGAAACTATTTGACCACCACTCACCTAATAAGGGGTAAATATCAAAGATATATAAGGCACTGGTAGAATTTTACAACAGCAAAAAAAGCAGCTGATCCCATTAAAAAACGGAGAGATGAGATGAATAGAAACTTCCTCAAAGAAGTTTGATGGTGGTAAAATGTTATGAAACCCAGTCATGAATAACTTTGTAACTTCATATTGACTAAAATGACAAAAAAATTGTCTTCTTCCACTAATACAAGCTCTTACTATAACACATTTGAATACTAAATAGGTAGTTTAGTTTAAGTATTAAATATATTACTTTTTTCATATTTTATAGTTATATTTTAAAGAACAAACAAGCAAAATAGCTATAAAATATGTTCTTAGTTATCAAACAGCAAATAATAATCACTTCAGTGATGTTAAGAAATTTAAAACTAAAGTTCTTCTTTATATCAGTGTCTCTTGGTGATTTTCTTTCTTCTTCATAGCTAGTGTACTTTTATTTTGTTTTCATCTCAGTAACCAGTGGTAGATTCTCCAATCATTCATCAAATGTTGTCCTTGATGTATATACCCTGGAAAGTTTCCATCTTTGATGACTAAGTCTATGATTAGTGTGACTTGAAAAAGATTCATAACTTCAGAGTTTTCTAAATTTTGTTTAATATAAATATTAGGGTTTTCAATGACCAAACTTCAAACTCTTACATTATTACTATGCAATATGTGAAGTAGACAAAGACAAAGTAATCAATCTGAACCATGAACCATTTTTAAATATACAAATTGTTGGGCAGTATCAATGTGGAATAAAAGTTAAAATAAAAGTTAAAATAAGCATAGGATATATGAATATTTTTTCAAATGCTCTTGGGATAAAATTCACTGAATTATGAAAAATGTATGTCAGATTTATTTTAATTGTCTTCTATTTACTCCCCTAAGATGCAGTGGCATTGGAAATAGGACACATTTGCCAACATCTGAAGTCTAAGAGGCAAATTTAAGGAAGAGATTCAGTATACATCTTGCTTTTTCTATATTAATTATACCCCTGAGTAAACAGGAGATGAGAGGAAATCTCTCTTTATAGAATTATTATAGCTAATTAATGAAGAAAAGTGATAAAACATACCATACCAGTAAAATCTTAATTAATGAATGAATTTAGGTACTGAAAATTAATAGTGCTCACTATGAAGAGATAACTGAACATTACAGATCACCTTATAGAAGAATAGCTGATATTTCTGAAATAGCTCTTAAAAAGTGAGAGTGTAGGGACTGAAAGATACAAAGAAGCATAATGAACTATAGCAAGGATAAACAGTTAATCAAGAGAACTGTGGATAATGAAAAATACATATAACCATATATATAAATCCATATTCTAATTTCTTTAAAAAGACATAACATAGAGTAGGAGGATAATGGAGAGATAGAGGGATAATAGGACAACTACAGTTAAAAGATATTAAATTCAATTTTTAATTACTTTTTACATCTTTAAATTTTTTATTTACAACACTACTAATGATGTTTTCTTGTGTGTGTGTATATATATGTATGTGTGTATATATATATATATATATATATATATATATAATCTGACCCCCAATGACTCTAACACCACTCCTTCTCGCCCCCAAATGCAATTGTATGGATCATTTCCCCTATTACATAACCGCTATGTATCATTAAATACCATATGTTAGAGATCATTCTGTATCTGTCTCTTTCATTTTAATTGATTTCATTCAGCATGATATGTTTTAGTTCCATCCATGTTGCTGCAAATGACATCACTTTGTTCTTTCTTAGAGCTGTGTAGTATCCAATTATGTATATATGCTTCAACTTCTTGAGACATTCATGTATAGTTGGGTTTTGGGTTGTTTCCACATCTTGGATATTGTACTAAGTGCAGCTGTGAACATAGGTGTGCATATATTATTTCCAATTAATGCTTTTATTTTGAATCATTTTGATATATATATATACATATATATGTGGTGTTTGAAAAAATACAGGGTTTCTATTACTATATACTGCTTTCCGTGCAGGATAAACCTGGTGACATTACCACCAACAATGGAAGAGAAATTCTTTCTCTCCACAACCCTACCAACTTTGCCTATTTCCAGATTTTTTGATATGTACAATTCTCAGAGGCCTGAGATTGTGTTTCATTGTTGTCTGATTTGCATTTCTCTAGTTAAGTGCGATGAGCACTTTTTCTATATGCTTATTGAAAATTTTTATATCTTCTTTGGGAAACTGTCTGTTCTACTCATCCCATGTGTGGATAGTGTTATTGGAATTTTTGTTGGTAAGTTCAATGAGTGTTTTATAGATCTTAAATACAAATCCTTTATCAAGTACTGAGTGCAAATGTTTTCTCCCAATCAGTATGATGTCTTTTTTTTAATGACCCAGAGCATCAATTATCTAGGAACCAATTTAACAAAAAATGTCAGTGAGAGTGAAAACTGTAAATCACTTCTTA